ATTATGCTTATGAAGTTTAACAAACAGAACAAACAAGAGAATAAAGAGTTTAATTTTCATGAATATAATAAAATTATTAGTTTTTTGACAGAAAAAGAATTAAATTATTAAATTTGTGTTAATATTGTCATTGCCTCACAATGTTCTAGTAGTGTAATATAAATGCTAAATTATTAATTTTTTCAAAAATAATAAATAGTACATTATTTATGTTTTAAAGAGAACAATCACTATAGAAAAAAGAATTAAGAAAAATTCTTTGTTACTATTTGAAGATAATTTTAAAAACAGCTTCCAAACTAATGATCATATTTGTTATATTAGTCATGGATAGATTCTGTTCTGGTTTAAAGCCAAAATCTACCTACAACCAAAGAGAAAGGTTAAGTAAAACTTATAAAAGTACTGTTTATTAGATTTTTTTGTTAAAAATTTAAAATTTTTACAGAAAATTCATCAAAACACATATGAAGTGTTTCTGGTAGGATCTATTTTTCAATTCTTATATAGAAGCTTATATTATGCTAAAATTTATAAGATTTTAGTATTTAAATTCCTAATACCTTTGAAAACAGAATTTTGTGTAGAATTTTGTTGTTTTTACAAAACTCTTACATTGATATGTTAAATACTGTAGTATTAATTGAATAATTATCTAACATGTTATTTTTGATGTAAAGTAAATTTTTTTATTTAGGAAAATTAATATAGATTTATAAATTTGTTTAGAAAATTTATAGATTCATATGTTTAGCCGAATATTTCTTTAAAAATATTTTACTTAACATTTAATGATGATATAAATTGAGCCTAAATTACATTCCTGTTTAATTTTTTACTGACGTATATATTGCAGATAAAATTTTTATAAATACAAGCATTATTTATTAATTTGATAAACATTAAAACAACATAAATGAATTTTTAAAAAATAAATTACAGTATACTTATATAAAATAAAATATAAATTTTTGCTTTTTAAAAAAATTACAAAATCTCATAACTTTGATAGTGAAATATTATTTTTATTTATTCAGTGATATTCTTCAAAAAATTATAAATACAATAAAATTAGTTATAGAAATTTTTATATTTATTTTAAACTTAATAGATAGTAATTTAATAAATATACAGTATCTAAAAATATTAAAAAATTAGCCACTTTTTAATTGACCAGAATTAAATCAATGATAAGTTAAATGGACAATCAGTTTTCTATGTAGATAGCTTTTAAAACATAAATTGTAGCAGCTTTTTTTTTAATTCAATATAATAGCATAAATAGATCTGTAAAATAAATTTTTTTGTTAAAAGAATTAATTTCATATTTTGATTTGATTGCTTTCTTTAAAAAATATTTTATTTTTGAATATTTTTCTATGGAAACAAAATTTTGCATTTAATAGTTATAAAAGTATAAACAAAACTAATTATTTTTGCATTTTTGCTTTTTAAATAAACTTGTTACTTGCAAGCTTACAAATTTATTACCTCAAATCATATTTAAAAAATATGGTGCTCATGAATTACTATGCATATAACACCTTCATTTGTTATATTTTAAATCTATTGTTATTATATAAACCAGGGGTCACCAAACTTTTTTCACAGCAGGCCAGATAACTGAGAGAATGATGAGTGAGGGCCATATAACCATTTTGTTCAATACAGCACACTGAATAAACAAAAAATAAAGACAACCAACATATTTATTTACCAATACACAAACACGATCATTGCAGCAAGTTCGTAGTCACTTTCCTTAGAAACTTCACTGCACATACTTATACAAAAAGTGTTCTGATATCCAAAGTCGCAATAATCTGTGAATTTTTTATTTCACTGATTTATCTGAAAACTATATTATTGTCAGATGCAAAAATCAGATTGGACCAATTTCGGCAGTTTTACTTTTACTTTCACCTATTTAAATTTTTTTACATAGTAAGTTTATGATATTTCCATATAAATAATTATATTTGTGGCTTAGTGCAGCAATGGGCCAGATAAACAGACTTCATGGGCTGGATCCGGCCTGCGGGCCATAGTTTGGTGACCCCTGATATAAACAATACAACAGATATCTGATTATCTGGTTTTAATAAATAAATATATAATTCTTAAAAAGTCAAAATTTTAAATCTCTAGCATATATAATTGATATTTATTGTAAAATATAAAACAGAAATATAATTAAACTATTAATTTACAAATGATTTTAAAAGTTAGCTAATTTACATAAAGAATTTTATTTCAGCATTAACAACTGAAATAAATATAATTTATTAACTAATAAATAATAAAACAAAGTAAACAAGCTGATACTGTTGTATTTGTTGATTGATATTACAGTATTGATCATGCAGCAGTCGACAGTTTCATTAAAAATAATAATTATAATTTATGTATTGGTAATTGCAAAACTATACATTATTTAAATTATATAAGTAACCTAAAAAAGCAAATTTTTAAAATCACTTAACTAAAGTAAATGCTAGAAACAAAAACCTACTTCATTATACAGTCGACCCATCTATAACACGGTAGATATGTTTCGGTTTTTATGAATCCATTTTCTACGAATCCAACCAATCACAGCCTGGCACGTATGCAGTTTACGGACTACAGCTGTTTGAAAGGTTTCTTCCATAAAATTAATCGATTCCTAGACTAATTCGACTCAACATTTCCAAAATATGTATATTTTTTGGGAATAATCCGTATAAACTATGCTATAAACAAAAAATTGTAGGATTACTTATCGAGTGTGCACCGTTCGACATTGCCATTGCTTAATCTTGTTTTCGTTGTGGAGCTTGTCATCGAATGGCGCTCGCATGCTTTCTGGTAAATTATTTTTTTTGCAAAAAATTCGCTGAACTTTAGAGACATCATTAATATAAATATAATTTTTATGGATGTTAAATAATAAATGGTTTTTAGTAGGTCCGCTGCTCGTTTAAACTCAACGATTTGCGCAATATCCGCTATTGGTCTAGATTCGACCAATCCTGTCGCGACACGAGTCGGCGATGACGTTTTACCGAATTATACGAGTTTTTTTAGCATGTTTGTACAAATATTGTCACAATTTTTTCGCTGTGTTATAGGGGGGTCGACTGTATTTATCAAAATGCTACAAATATAAGACTATTCAGTGATCTTTAAATTTTTAAAAAACATACCAATTAACAAATTGAAAGACAATGAATAAATTATGTAAATTTGTTTTAAAAAATACTTATTTCAAAAACTATCTTTTCTTCAATTAAAGAAAGTTGAAAAACTGAACATAATTGAAAGTGTGTTAAATAGATGTTAATTGACATTATCAATTCAAAATACAGTGTTAAACAGTGCAATTGATGAGTTGGAATAAATTATCAAAAAATAATTTTTTGACATGTTATTTTGATTCATCTAACTTTCAATAATAATTTCTTAATTTTAGTATGAAAATCATTTCAACATGAAATAGTGTTAAGAGTTTTTATTATTACTATTCTCTCAAAAAACAAGATTAATAAAATTTGTTGGAATCTACAATATCAATTCATTATCAGAAATTGCTTATACATCATAAAACTTAGTAAAATTGATATTTTGAAGATATTGTCACTTCAAAAGAAATGTAATTAATTAATACATCTTTTCGTGGAACAAATATGCTTTAATTTTAATGTGTAAAAGAAATTATTTAATTATCTAGTTTTGCAAGAAAACAAGGCTGTTTACATCAGGAATAGACATTTAGATTTATTAAATTTACAAAGTATTGATGCATTAATTAATAGAAATGTTTTTATTTACAATACATATAATTGTTAATAAATTGCTTACATTCAAAAAAAAATAAATTATTTTAATGCTTACATAGTAAATTATATTTATTAATTAAATATACACTATGGAAATTTGTAAGAATATTTTTTATAGTTTTAAAATATTTAAATAGTTTTTATGATCATTAATACTTTCTCAATTAAAATTTAGATTAGATGTCAGTTGTTTTAACTGGATTAGTGCGTTAGTTGAACTTCATATAAATTTTGTATTCGTGCATTACATTATTTTAAAAATGCCTTAATTTGTTTATATCAGGTTTCTGCTTTACATTCATTTATTCCTCTCAAAATTCAGAGAATGATTTTGATTACCAAGATATTTACAACTAATTTTTTTCTAGCCATATTAAATATTTAGAGGTGAAAAATAGTTATTTTACAGTAATAGCAGTAATAATTTATTTTAGTTTTTCATTAGTATCAAATTTGATGATAGTAAATTTTAAATGTTTAAAAATTTCACTATTGTTTCTAGGCTTCTATTTTTCAATTATACATACAAATACTTAAAGAAATTATGAACTGTTTTAAAGACTAAAAAGAAATTAACAGAATCCAAAATCAATATAAATTCTTTTAATTGCCATGACTGAGTTTTGTCTTCAGATTTGACAAAATACTTAGGACAAGAAGGAATTACTCATGTATTAGCATCTAAAATCAACTTTGTAATGCTGACTTATATAAATCCAGTTGTGAAATTTACATATTTAATTCTATATTATAACATTCAATTTTAAAATATGTATTTAGATATAAGTTTCAATGAGAATCTTGACACTTTCTTCAACACTGAAAATTATACATTAACAAAAATTCATCAATTGATTCATTCAACTGGTAATATTGCTGTATAGGGTGTACAACCTATTTGCCCTTGAGCTATAGTGTGTTAATCATCAAATAATACTAATTTATCAAATTTTCCTTTTTCTTTTTTCTTCTAGGACATGCCATTTAGAACTGAATCACATGAAAAATACTCAACAATAGAAGAATGCAACCATTTTATTTTCAAATGGTTTGCTACCATATTTAGAAAATTTGCAATTTTTTAATTTTTAATAAAATGCCTATTTTTATATTTAATATTTATCTTTTTAAGCATTATTATGCATTTAAAGCATATATTCTTATTAACTTTATCCGTTTCAGGTTCGTTCTGTTGATCCACGCTTAACTAGATTGGATCCACGAATTAGTTTAAGAGATCCACGGTTACATAAGATGACTCCTGGCACAACAGCTTCACCTATTGGTCAAAACTCCACACCTACTGTTATGTCATTTGGAAACAGACAGAGGATAGGCACGGAATTACAAAATCCTCCAAATAATCAAATGAATTTTACAAATGCATCTCATACACCTAATTCACAAATGAAACTTGGTTCTTCTCATTCTGTTTTACCATCTTTTCCTGCAAAATCTGAGTTAAATAATAATAGTAATAACAATAATGTACTTACGAAAATAGTTTCTTCATCAACTGAAAATTCTGTTTCACAATGTACTAATGGGAATAAAAATATGAATTCTCAATCATTGTCTGAAGGTAAAAGTAATATTCCTAAACATTCTGTTACTAATTTACGGACTAGTGAGAATTCAAAAATCTCTGGGAAGAAAGTAAAAAAGGATGACAGCCAAGATGTGAAAAACAATGAAGATATGTCTAAAAAGAATATAAGTCCTAAGAAAGTTTCTTCAGGAAAGAAGAATACATCTAATAAAAAGATGAAGAATTTTGAACATGATGATGATAAACTGTCTCGAGAGAAAAAGGAAATATCACAAAACAAAGCAAATATAAATAAAAGTGTAATCAAAGAAAAAGATAGAGTAAATGAAAATGAAATAATTAACATTCAACATTCTGAACTCAAAACAAGAAAGAGGCGGAATTTGGATAAAACATCCAAAAATAATTGGGAAGCTGAAGAAAATTCAAGACGTGATAATTCAAAAGTTCACAGAAGCACAAAATCTCAATCAAAAGTTATTAAATCTGAAGAAAATGAACAAACACGAAAAGTTTCTGAAAGAGAGCGATCACGTTCACCATTAAAGAAAGCTGAGAAACATTCTAAAAAATCAGATAATGTAAGATCAAATAACCAAGAATCATCTAATAAATCTAAACTTAATCAAGAAGTGAAAAATAGAGTAAGTGAATCAAATGTGATTATAAAGAAAAGTGACTCCTGTACAAAAGACCAAACAACTAGAGATATTGATTTAAGATTGTTATCCAGTAACACTGAGAAGATATCACATGAAGGACATAAATCATCAAGCAAGAGAGAGCTAGATCAGAAACTTTTGAAAGATGAAGAAAGTAAAGAAAATGAAGAAGAACCACCAATTAAAAAAGCTAAAGAAGGAAGGTTAGATAAGTAAGTGAACTTTAATTTATAAGTTTTAAGATTTTTAAAAATTTGAACAAGTATAATTGTATCTATAGTTTGTAATAAAAAAAACTAAATGTTTCTAAATTCATAATCTATTATTCTAGAAAATTTTTTAAGCTTATAATGTCCTTGTATTTTATCACAACTACTGCATGTTAATTGTAGAAATAATATTTTGCATTTAAATTTGCTTTTATTTTAGAGTTTGATAATGAATATTTTTAATTATCAAACACTTTTTGAAATTAAGATTAAATTCTTGAGGAGCTTGAACTTGATGCTTTTACTTATAAATTATGAATATCTCAACAAATGTTGAATTCATGAGAACAGCTTTTTAACTTTATAAAATACCATTTAAAAGGCCCGATGCAGGCATCAGGGCATACTAAATAATTAGCATGCATAGCAATGATAAATAAATAATTAAAAATGGTTTACCTAAAGTGCAGAGATGTTCGGCAGAACAGTGTTGAAAGTGAACTGCCCATAACTATCATTGTCATGTACTAAAACTAACATCCCTACATCCAATTCTCATGAAATAACTTTCAAAATACCAATAAGATACTACATATTTCTGTATTGAACTTTTTGAAATTAAGATTAAATTCTTGATTGCAAAGAAACACTGTAATATCTCATCTCCAGTTCAAAGCATAATAATGAAACAAAAAAGCATAACTATCATTGTCATGCACTATGACTGATCAATATCCAATTCTTTTTAAATAATTCAGCAAGCAGCATGCTGAATACCATCAAAAAGAGTTGAACACGGTTTCTGGCAATTCCTAGGTTTGCTGCTATGCTTTGCTGGTGCTCAATATGCCAACAGAGACCGGCCATTTTTTCAGTTTTATATAGTAGATAAAAATAATAATATACTGAATTATACTGTAACAATATAAAATATATATATATAATAATTTATATTGTTGGGGTGTCCCTAGTGGCTGTTTTTGGCATACTGTGACAGAGCTGCCCAGTTTTTCAGTTTTATATAGAAGATTATTTATGTAAAAAAGTAAATGTTAATTACAAGAAACTTGTATACACTCATTGACAAAATAGTTATACATCAAGAAGGAGATTATTGGGCATAAAAACCTTATTTATGTGAATATAACGTTGATGACAATAAGTAATTACAGTATTATAGCAAAGGGACAGTGTCTTATGCAATAATGCTGCAGTTTAAAGTAATCTTTTGTAGGAGTTTCTCTTGCCTGGATAAATGCAGTGATAAGGTTGTACATGGAGGCACAAGGTGCTTGTATACCTTCCTTAATAGATTTGCATATGGATGTTACAATTGCTGCTCCAAACCCCTTACACTCAGATGGCTGATATTAATGTCTCCATCTAGTCCCACAAATGATTTATGGATGGCAAATCTCGAGATTGAGCAGGCCAAGCATTATTTTGTTGGAAAATGGCTGCTTGTAGTCCTGCTATAAAAGGCAAGACATGGGGGTGCAGAATTTTCTGGGTGTACCACTATTTCATCAATGTTTCTCATACCATAACTAGAGGTGACCATCATACAAGATGATTCTCTCAGACCCAGAAAGCCAGCATTGGAAGTATACTGCTCAATAGCAAAGGTGGGATTGAAGTACTTATCAATAGTTCTCCACATTCTAACATGGTGGTTCATTCCCAAACAAAACTGAGATTTGCTACTAAAGATAATGTGCTGCCAGTCAATAGCAGTCCATGCTTTTCTCTCACAGCATCACTACAAAGGCAGCAATGTTGACATGCTAATGACAGGATGTATAGTGATTGTCTTGCATGCAAATTTGCCTCTACTAGTTGCATCCAATGGTACAGAAGAGGCAGGATTTTGTAGAGAGGATTATGTCTGGCTCTGTCAGATGCTGTTACTGCTGTTTATGCATGTCTCATAATCAGGGTTATCTTTTCTAGTGGTATCCACTGTCTTCAACTCCTCCTGACAATCAGATCAGAATGGCCAGATGGCATAAAGTTTGGCAAAACAGCCATTCTGCTTTCCATATCTTGATATGATCTTTCTTAAACTCTGTTAGCTGTGCATAATGTTCTTTACTGTGTTGTATAGGCATTTGAGGACTTTCAAACAATAGTTAAAATGAAAATTCTGAACATGATGAGCTTTTATAAGCCTTCTTATGGGATAGCAATTTACAGACATTTTGGTGTCATTATTTGACACGCAATCAGACCCCAATTGTAGTCACTTATATACCTGTCTGTGTTGTTTTGCAGGAATCAAATGATTCTATTTTGGTGCACAACTTTTTTATCAATAAGTGTATATTGTGAAATTAAATGAACTGAAAGTGAAATGTTTTTATTTTATAATAATTGTTAAATGAATAACTAATAATAATATGAGATGATGATAAATTTGTTTACATATCTAAATTAATTTAAATTTACTTGAAATTATACTGAGTATTATTGATATGCTTTTATCAATTGAAACTAAATTTCTATTTATGTTTTTCTTAGCATTCATTTACAGTGTTTATTTTTAATTATTCCTTCTATTATAAAAATTGAAAATAGTGTTCATAAACACATTATGCACAAGAGAAAATATTTTTTAAGTGAAATTAAGCCAATAAAAATACTGTGAAAATAAAAACATCTGAAAAAATTGTGAGAACAGTGCTTTCTAATTATTTTTATATTTCTTTCATTAAGAGCATCATTAAAATTTGTCTGTGTATCTATTGAAATATGTTAATTTCTAATAACTAATCCAAGTAACTAAACATTATTCACTTTTGTCTCTGCTTTTTCTAGGCTAAAAATTTATTTATTTCAAAATTTTTTTTAAGATAGACTAAATTATTTTGTAAGAATTTTTAATAATTAGAATTTTTCTCTCCTTAACTTAGTAATGTCTAAATGATTAACATAGAATAAGATTTAAACAGGACTTTTCAGTTTACAGGAATTAATCATTGTAGGATTGATTCCTTTAAACCTGATAACAATATTATGAAATTGTGTATTTTAGTAATATGGTTATCCAATATACAGACATTTGGATTTTGAATCCTACTTTTAGGATTTTTTTAGTTGTTACTAAAACAAATTGAAAATTAATTTGAATTATAAAAATTTTCATAAAATGGTGACTTAACACATTTCTAGACAAATTTTTAACTAAAAAAGTTATTTTTGTCCTATAAATAACACAGAAGAAATTTGATAATATTTAGTATGATAGCACTTTTATGTTAATTGGTTTATATTTGATTTCTAATAAAAAATAATAATAATAATATAATTGAAATGAGAATAATACATGGAAATGAGTGATATGTGTATTAATTTTTAACTTGAAACATTTTCATTACAGTTTATTTGGAATTCAAGATCAGGATTACAGACAAATTTCCCAAATGTCTGATTTAAATCTAGACAAAAATGTTAACCAAAAAGGTTGGGCACAATACAAAGCTATTCATCCAGATGAATTTAAGAGTCCTTTGAGGCCATCTAGAGAAAATATGGATGGATCAATAGGTAAAATATTTTTGTAATAAAATTATTTGAATCTGACAAGACATATTAATTATTTTGTTTTACATATATGCAGAAGTTTCATGTAATAAAAAAATTATAGATAATTTTTATTATTATTTAAATTGAGAATATTTAAATTTTATTATTAGTATAATTTGATATGGGATAACCTGCAGGTTTTTGTATTTGAAAGGGGATATGGATTATGTGATGGGGCAAGTTATATCTCAATTTCAAATTTCCATCATGAGTGAAAATTGATTTACATTATAATTAACTAGTAGCCAGGGACGCCCCCCTAGTGGGTGTGTTTTACAAATTTCCATGAAGCACGGTTCCTTTGACTTTTTTGTTCCCATCAATATGCTCTACAGCTCTGTAAAAGTCCAAATGGTAAGATTTACCTTCCGAATGAAGAGGTGGCGATCCCCCCAAACTGTAGCCCCCTGTGCGAACAATAAAGTCAAAGGAAACATACCCCTACTCGCGACCCTTCGTGAGATATAAGCCCCTGAAATAATAAATTCCTATTACAAATATACTGAATCATTTATATTGTTATATTGACCAAATAATAATTTATTGGCCAAATGAATAATAATAATTTATATTGTTAATTTAAATAATAATTAAAATTGTTAATTTGAATGTTTGAAATATGGTACACGATATTTCAAACATTAGTGTCCGTTATCAAACGGTTACGGGACGGACACCAGTTGAATGGGTTATATATATAGATTGTTATATTGACCAAATGAATAATAATAATTTATATTGTTAATTTAATTTGGTGTTTGAAATATGACACACGATAGGGCGCCTCTAGTGTCCGTTATGAAACGGTAACGGGACGGACACGAAATGAATGGGTTATATATATAGATTTCTATTTAATTTTTCTGGGTTGTGATAATTCTGAAAAAATAACTATTTAACATTATTTGTCAGCATGTGACATTCATGTTCTAATTTACAAATTGATTCTACTCTCATACATAGTCATAAATCTAAGAACACATTGAAATTTGTGCACATTTTTTCTGAATACAGTAGAACCTCCATTATCCGGACCTCCATTATCCGGATTTTCGATTATCCGGATTGTTCAAAATAAACAAAAATTTTTTGAATTTGCTGATTTGCACTTGGCGAATTACGATACTGTTTATGTACGTGATGGAATGCATAACTTTGTTTGTTTCAACAACGTCTCACCCAGCACTGTGGTCGTAAACTCTTAAATATATTTTACGTAGTAATAAAAATATAACTTGACATACGTATTTATAAATAATTTATATTCAAATTACATCATCTTTATGACCAAGGGCAGCGTAAGGCGTGGACGATGTGGGCCACCACCTATGTCTCGTGGTCCGAAGGGCCTCGCGCCTCAAAGGTTTATGCATTACTTAAAAGCCGTGAACGTGACGAAAAAATTTTACTCGTCGTAAAACGATAAATAGTTTGTCAAATTTTTATTCATAAAAATGCAGTTTCAACTGCTTTTTATTTTATAAAATCCATCTTCTTGCGCCACCAGAGGGCCTTTTATACAATAGGTAGTCTGTTAGCGTTGGTCAGTAGTAGTTCAAATTCAATATGAACGTTTGCTTCTTGAAAATTTGTTCACGGTTTAAATACAGTATTTACTTTTAATATTACCGATATGTCATCGAAAATAAAAGGTGTTGTTTTATCATTAAAAGACAAATTAAAGTATTTGTTTCGATTATCCGAATTTTTCCGTATCCGGACTACCTTCATCCCCAATTAGTCCGGATAATCGAGGTTCTACTGTACCTTATTTTAGAGCAAAATAATAAATTGATTATACTGTTTCTACAACTTTTTACAGATAAAATATCAGAGAGAGAACAAGAAGAAAGATTTGATTTTCATGGCGGTGATCCACGTATGTATGGTTATGATAGTCTTGGCAGGCCACGTCGTCGAATGAGAAATGATCGATTTTTTAAGCAAAGTAGCTTTGATAGGTAATTTTATTATTATTATTAGTTTCATTTTTCATAAGTAATAAATATCAGTATTGAAAAATTATACAAATACAATAATTGAAACAATATTAAGTTATAACTATACAGTATTTTGACTTCTGCATTAACATATTTCAGATTTAAAGGTCATTATAATCAGTTTGGAAGAGATCAACAGCAAGTAAAGGCTCAAATGGAATTGATGCTAGCGAATGAAAAAGAAATTTTACGTCAAGCGGAACAACAATTACATTCAGGTCGAATGACCAATGAACAGTATGAAGATTTACGAGCTCAACTTGAGAATCTTTATGATCGTAAAAGATTGGATGATTTTCATTCTTTGCCTAAAAAGGTAACGTTTAAGCATCTTTAAACTTTGAGTTTCAGAACAAAATGTATAAAAACATGCACAAGTATATTATTTTAAAATATAATTTTTCATACTAATTTTAATTATTACTTTTTGTTTAGAATTTTGCTAGGTTCAATATTCCAGATAAAGAATTCTTAAATGAGAGATATGATAAAACATCAAGAAGAACAGATTTTATAAATGATAAACGACCACAAGGAAATTTTAGTAAGAATAATTAAAGTTTAAATTATCACAATTCTAATAACATATGTATATGAGCTGCATAACTTTATCCAATATATTTTATATTTTAGTTATTTAGAAAATATTAAGCAAATAATATGTAGAATCTAAAATACCCTAAAACCTTGGCTATACACACTTTTGGGTAGACCACAAAAGTGAAAGTTGTGAAAAGAATGTTGACTTTTTCATGGATGAGTTTCTTAATATATAGGCTTCAACTTATAGCCAAAGTTTAGGGTATTACTCAAGAATAAAAACCAGTAAGAAACAAATAGCATTAGGAATAACATTATTTATGTAAATCTCACTGTTCTATTTACTAACATTACTTGTACAACATTTTATTGGTTATTTTTGCCAATTTTCACATAGCTTTAAATTCAGTATTTTTACCAGTATATCACTGTGTTATTATCAGTTTATTGTACTATAGTTACAATTTTTACTAATCACCAGGTTTTTCATGAAAATGGCAACTTTATGTACACAATGAAATTTACAAATATGACTTTGTACATGATGTGGCCTTGTATCCTAGGTTTTAGGGTAATTATAATTTATATATAATAATAATTTTAAAGTAATTAGACTTTTTAAAATTTAATAGAATTAAACACAATCAAAATTATTAAAATGAACATTGAAGAATGATAAATTGCACCATTTAAATTACAATTATTTGTAAATTTTTGCATTTTGTTTTTATTTTCAGACTAGTTCGTTCATTAACATCTGCCCTCAAATTGAGGGTGTAAAATTTAATTGTGAGGGTTTAGGAAGAATTAGAATACACAATAAAATCTGTCTAAAGCAGAACTTGAATAAAATAGAAACCTGTTGAAATGAAAAATTTCTTCAGAACAGGGTGATTTTGTGTGTTAAATTTTACTATAGGCCTGAAATGTGTCCACTGCAAAATGGAAGAAGTTTTTGGGTGTAAAGAATGTAACCTAACCTGAATAAAGCAGAAAATTAAGATTTCATGTGTGGGCAAATAAATAAATTCACCTCCAAGTTATAACAGTCATCACAGAGCATGACAAACTACTTTGAGAATGATTTTGAACCTTATCAGAGAAATAAAGGTCACAAAAAAAAAGGACATATGGACTAAGGTCCGTGTTAATATTACTCTTTGTTAGAATTAACCAGGGACAGAATCAAATACTTTGAGTTGAGAACTTTTGATAATCTAAATGACTCTGAGAATGAAGTTCTCAAGAACAAGCAATAAATGTAATATGTTGAAAACAATGAAAATAAGGTAACACAGTGCTGCCAATTTGCCTTATATGGAGTAGTAACTAAATAATACCAAAGAACAAGTTGATTAAATTAACATGCTGATAATTGCAGATTGAATAAATGATTAATTAGGGTACCAAAATTCCTTTAGAAGCCAGATCACAGAATTATTTGGTCTCTGTGTTACTGTAGTGCAATTAGAAATTTCAATGGAATGAAACATCTAGTTCTTGGTTTTTGAATTGACTTGTTAGTTGTTGTGGTTAGACTCATGAGGATTTCATCCAATAACTTAATATTTATATACCTAGAACAAGTTCTTGGGAACAGTGAGAACTTTTGCAATTGAATAGTATTCAAATACCTCCATCTTTATTTGGAATCACTTTGAATTATATATGGTAATAAAAGTCTTTTTACATATGTGAAAGTGATTTTATTAAAAAAATGAATGTAAGTGTATGACATTTATCTGGTGTTGTTTAAAAGAAGAAGAAATACTAAATAAAACACTTTCACTTCAAAATAATCATTGATCTGTATTTTCAGTCACTCAGAAACACTTTTATATCTGATTATTATTGGACTAATTACTACCACCCNAGGTGTTGTATTATCATTAAAAGACAAATTAAAGTATTTGTTTCGATTATCCGAATTTTTCCGTATCCGGACTACCTTCATCCCCAATTAGTCCGGATAATCGAGGTTCTACTGTACCTTATTTTAGAGCAAAATAATAAATTGATTATACTGTTTCTACAACTTTTTACAGATAAAATATCAGAGAGAGAACAAGAAGAAAGATTTGATTTTCATGGCGGTGATCCACGTATGTATGGTTATGATAGTCTTGGCAGGCCACGTCGTCGAATGAGAAATGATCGATTTTTTAAGCAAAGTAGCTTTGATAGGTAATTTTATTATTATTATTAGTTTCATTTTTCATAAGTAATAAATATCAGTATTGAAAAATTATACAAATACAATAATTGAAACAATATTAAGTTATAACTATACAGTATTTTGACTTCTGCATTAACATATTTCAGATTTAAAGGTCATTATAATCAGTTTGGAAGAGATCAACAGCAAGTAAAGGCTCAAATGGAATTGATGCTAGCGAATGAAAAAGAAATTTTACGTCAAGCGGAACAACAATTACATTCAGGTCGAATGACCAATGAACAGTATGAAGATTTACGAGCTCAACTTGAGAATCTTTATGATCGTAAAAGATTGGATGATTTTCATTCTTTGCCTAAAAAGGTAACGTTTAAGCATCTTTAAACTTTGAGTTTCAGAACAAAATGTATAAAAACATGCACAAGTATATTATTTTAAAATATAATTTTTCATACTAATTTTAATTATTACTTTTTGTTTAGAATTTTGCTAGGTTCAATATTCCAGATAAAGAATTCTTAAATGAGAGATATGATAAAACATCAAGAAGAACAGATTTTATAAATGATAAACGACCACAAGGAAATTTTAGTAAGAATAATTAAAGTTTAAATTATCACAATTCTAATAACATATGTATATGAGCTGCATAACTTTATCCAATATATTTTATATTTTAGTTATTTAGAAAATATTAAGCAAATAATATGTAGAATCTAAAATACCCTAAAACCTTGGCTATACACACTTTTGGGTAGACCACAAAAGTGAAAGTTGTGAAAAGAATGTTGACTTTTTCATGGATGAGTTTCTTAATATATAGGCTTCAACTTATAGCCAAAGTTTAGGGTATTACTCAAGAATAAAAACCAGTAAGAAACAAATAGCATTAGGAATAACATTATTTATGTAAATCTCACTGTTCTATTTACTAACATTACTTGTACAACATTTTATTGGTTATTTTTGCCAATTTTCACATAGCTTTAAATTCAGTATTTTTACCAGTATATCACTGTGTTATTATCAGTTTATTGTACTATAGTTACAATTTTTACTAATCACCAGGTTTTTCATGAAAATGGCAACTTTATGTACACAATGAAATTTACAAATATGACTTTGTACATGATGTGGCCTTGTATCCTAGGTTTTAGGGTAATTATAATTTATATATAATAATAATTTTAAAGTAATTAGACTTTTTAAAATTTAATAGAATTAAACACAATCAAAATTATTAAAATGAACATTGAAGAATGATAAATTGCACCATTTAAATTACAATTATTTGTAAATTTTTGCATTTTGTTTTTATTTTCAGACTAGTTCGTTCATTAACATCTGCCCTCAAATTGAGGGTGTAAAATTTAATTGTGAGGGTTTAGGAAGAATTAGAATACACAATAAAATCTGTCTAAAGCAGAACTTGAATAAAATAGAAACCTGTTGAAATGAAAAATTTCTTCAGAACAGGGTGATTTTGTGTGTTAAATTTTACTATAGGCCTGAAATGTGTCCACTGCAAAATGGAAGAAGTTTTTGGGTGTAAAGAATGTAACCTAACCTGAATAAAGCAGAAAATTAAGATTTCATGTGTGGGCAAATAAATAAATTCACCTCCAAGTTATAACAGTCATCACAGAGCATGACAAACTACTTTGAGAATGATTTTGAACCTTATCAGAGAAATAAAGGTCACAAAAAAAAAGGACATATGGACTAAGGTCCGTGTTAATATTACTCTTTGTTAGAATTAACCAGGGACAGAATCAAATACTTTGAGTTGAGAACTTTTGATAATCTAAATGACTCTGAGAATGAAGTTCTCAAGAACAAGCAATAAATGTAATATGTTGAAAACAATGAAAATAAGGTAACACAGTGCTGCCAATTTGCCTTATATGGAGTAGTAACTAAATAATACCAAAGAACAAGTTGATTAAATTAACATGCTGATAATTGCAGATTGAATAAATGATTAATTAGGGTACCAAAATTCCTTTAGAAGCCAGATCACAGAATTATTTGGTCTCTGTGTTACTGTAGTGCAATTAGAAATTTCAATGGAATGAAACATCTAGTTCTTGGTTTTTGAATTGACTTGTTAGTTGTTGTGGTTAGACTCATGAGGATTTCATCCAATAACTTAATATTTATATACCTAGAACAAGTTCTTGGGAACAGTGAGAACTTTTGCAATTGAATAGTATTCAAATACCTCCATCTTTATTTGGAATCACTTTGAATTATATATGGTAATAAAAGTCTTTTTACATATGTGAAAGTGATTTTATTAAAAAAATGAATGTAAGTGTATGACATTTATCTGGTGTTGTTTAAAAGAAGAAGAAATACTAAAAGTAATTTATACCATATTATTTGGTTTATACAGGTTTCACTGTATTTTGAAGAAAAAAAATCATATCCATGTCAACACAGCATTTTTAAAATTACAAAATGTTTTAAAATTTAACTATGCCAGTTGACATTATGCTAGTAGCTCTGCTCAGTTTATTTTGGAGTATTTCACAAAATATTTTTCCATGTTGCATTTTATAGTAATTCCTCACACAAACAATTAATATTAATTTAAAAATTTTTATTTGGAATATTTTGTAAAGTGAAAATTAAAAATAATATTAAACAAAAATTTTGAAAGTTAGCCACAGAATTTTAACTTTTAAAAATTCAGCTGTCGGTAAAAGAAGTAAGCCACCTGTATTAATTATCACCAGATAAAAATGAAAATTCACAGATTGATCATGATTTATTCAGTAATTTTGAGTGATTTTAAAGTAATACAATGGTTTAATGCAAAAGAACAATAAATATTCCTATTAAACATTAAAAATTAAGATTATTTCATTTTGTTAGTGTTTTGTCTCAATTTACACAGAACCAATTTTTCATGTAAATTAAGGACTATATGTATAAAGCATACATTTGTGTAAGTAAGTAAATGAAAGAAAAATAAATAAATGCAGATATTTTTTCCTTTCATCAATAAGTTATTGTCATTAGTTTTTTGTTAGAATTCTTTCTTATTCTATTCTGTTAGAATTCTAGACTAAAACTGGCAAGAATTTTCATTGCCAGTTTTTTGTCTATAGGTATTGTAAATCTTGTTGACAAGTGAAATATTTACTAAACTTGAATAGTAAAACAATGTGAATTTTGTTATGTTTTAATACTTTTTTATAAGTCAAAAATTTATTATTATCAGGTCAGTCCATAAGTTTGTGCCTATTTTATGACCTTGAGAAAAATCTTCTTTTGCTGTTAAAAATGCCAGTCTAATGTGATACTTTTTACACTGAAGTGTTAAATTGGATCTCATTCATATAATATTGTTCAGAATTGGGAACATTTCAGTTGTTTATTTTCGTTAAAATGGAAGTAACATATGAATATAAGAGACATGTTTTATACTTTTTATTTTTAAGTAGTGAGAATGCTATAAATGCAGCCAAAAAATTAAATACTGCTTATAATCAAACTGTAACAAGTGTAAGGACTGCGCAGAAGTGGTTTGAAAGATTTAGAAATAATGATTTTAGTGTGGAGGATAAGGCTCGTACTGGAAGACCTGTTGACTTTGATGATGATGCTCTCTCTGCACTAGTTGAAGCAGAACCATCTTTAACAGTTGATGAAATTGCGGAACGTTTAAATTCATCCCATGGAACTGTTCATAGACATCTACAACAAATTGGAAAAGTTTCAAAGCTAGGAAAATGGATACCACATGAACTGTCAATAGCTAACTGACAACAACGTCAACTGCTCAACTTCAAAGCTTCAACTGGGAAATTTTACCTCATCCACCATATTTGTCAGATATTGCTCCCAGTGATTATCATCTTTTTCGGAGTTTGCAGAATTTTTTAAAAGGAAAAACTTTTGAGGATGAGAACAATGTAAAAAAAGGCTATTTCTGAATATTTTGATTCAAAACCGAAATCATTTTACAAAGACGGGATTAAAAAGCTACCATCAAGATGGCAAGAAATTGTACAAAATAATGGTGAATACATTATAGATTGAAATAAGATTTAATTAAAATTTTTTGTTGCTTTTTTTGTAGATAAAAATGCGCACGAACTTATGGACTGACCTGATATAATAATTTATTCACATATAATTACTTATTTCTATAAATTTCCTCTTTTACCATACTACTATTATTATTTTTTGAAAAATCTAACTCTACCATCTTTTTAAATGAATATTTTTCTTTTAGTTGACTAGATCGGCAAATAAAAATTCAGAAAAGTTAAACTGGAAACATGCTATTTTAAAACCAAATATCTTACTCAGCTCCTTAAATAATAAATCATTCAACACCTGATGCTGAGAAAAACGTTTATTTAAAGAAATATTAACAATTTCGACCTAATATGATAGGCCATCTTCAGATGCACGTATTCTCGAACGTATTTAACTTCATATTTTCTTAATATTTTTAAGAAAATATTAAGTTAAATACATTCGAGAATACTTGTATCTGAAGATGGCCTATCATATTAGGTCGAAAATGTTAATGTTTCTTTAAATAAACGTTTTTCTAAGCATCGGGTGTTGGATGATTTATAATATTATTTAAAGTATTTTTAAAATGTAATATTTATATATGTTTAGCTGTCAAAGATGATTCTGATGATGTGATGCAAGAAGAGAAAACAAGGAGAGTCAATAAAGAGGAAAAGTTAAAAGATCAATCTTCACTTCCACCTGTACGGTCAATTGTGATCGACAAACAGTTGAGAAAGATTCATTTTGTAGGTCAAACTGGAGTAATCATGATGGAAAATGATGATCCTAGAGAGATTAGTTTTAAAGGAGCACCAAAAAAAGTATTCATTGATGATATGGTAAATCTTTATAATTTTGATATATATATATATACAGTATAGGCATTTCTTTACAAATTTTTCTTTTCTTTCTTAAGGAACCTCTGTTGTTAGGATTTGGTGGTGAAGTTAAGGAATTTGAAATTGAAGGCAAAAAGCACACCATAAAATTTGGAGCCCCGTCTAGAGAATTATACATTGATGATTATCCATATGAAGCTCGTTTTGGAGGACCTTCAATTAAATTGTTTCTAGATGATGCAGTTCATACAATACATCTTGAAGGTCCACCACCTAATGTTCAAATAAGTGAAGAATCTAGAAAAGATCTGTTAAAAGATCTTGCATTTTTGAATGATAAGCAAGGAAAGGATTTGGCATCTTCAGGAAATGAATCAAAGAAAGGAAATAGTGTAAAAGGAGAGTCAAATAAAATTGAATCATTAGATTCAAAAACTGATAGTCAGCAGTCAAATTCAAATAATTCTGTTGTAAATAAAGATGTTGATTTAAGATCTGAAAAACAAAAGAAAGCAGATTCTAATAAAGATCAAGATTTTAGAAAATCTGATTCTTTGGTTGAAGATATATCACATGATATAGATATGAGATCTGTTCCAGAGAAAGAAGAAAATATTATTGAAAAAAATCTTAGTATTAATCAAGATCTCCAAAATAATAGAGAAAGTTCCAAAGAAGAAGTTCCACTCTCAAGTTTTAAAGATATTGATTGGAGACCTGTGCTTTTGACTGCAGAGAGTAGTAGTCCTAATAGAAGTCCGTCCACAAGAGAACATTCAGAACAGAATGAAGAAAAACGACACACACATTTAGATGAGAAAGAATTTACCCAACAACCTGTAGATAAAACAAGAATGCAAAACAGTCCTGTTACTTCTGTAAAAAGACTTGTTAATGAAAGATATCCAACTACTGTTCATAGTAGCTACAGAGATTCTCCTCCATATTGGAATCAAGAAAGAATGTGGGATAATCCATCTAGAATAGAAACAAGTGTGGCTAGTTCAGTTAAGAAGGATGACAGAGATGTTACAATGAGTTCACGTCATATTGAATGGGATTCACAAGTAAGTTCATGTTAATAATTAATCTTTATGAATAATTTATTTATTGAAATATTTTTAGATTTATTGAATTGAATTAATGTGAAATGGCAAATAATTGCCAATATTACGTGGGCAAGGTAAAAAGTTCTCGGCCTAACCCAATAGATGACACTACTACAAATGAATTGTTTGGTTATGTTGCCAAACTTGTTACAAAAGTAAATACCAAATGTGAATTTGATCAGACAAATAGTTTGTTTTATACAATTGTTTAAAGTAAGCATTGTGTGTGTTCTTGACAGAATGACTAAACTTGAATATCATTCTGTCATATAATTCTTCGTTTTGGATGGCTTATCACCAACAGAAATTTATCCAAAGTTGGTAAAAGTGTATAAGGAGTCTGCACCTTCATTATCAACAGTAAAAAAAATGGGCAGCGGAGTTTAAACATGGTCTTACATCGATTGAAAATGATTCAGGTGAATGGCAGTCAAAAACTACAACTATCAAAGAAAATATCAAGAAAATACACAATATGGTTCTAGATGATTGACAATTAACTTGTCCTACATTGTTCCCGAAAATATTCGTGTTGATCTCATTGACCTGCATGGGCGATCCCAAATATTTTCGTGTTTACATCGGAACGTTTTTGATACTAGATGTCGCTATGCGTCACAATTTTTTATTAAAACAAACTTTTAAAATATAATTTTTTTTGTTTCGATATTATTCAATATATTACTGTATATATATGTTTAATATATACTGTATCATAAAAAAATAATTTTTTACGATACAGTAAACACAATTATTATTTTAAAAAAAAATTTTTTAAGGCTTAACATCGACGGAAATTCAACATGGCATCACAGGCAACAAATAAAAATTTCAACATTGAATAGGTTAAAGGTGTATGAGATAGCTAAGGCTGTAGGCATCTCAGAAGAAAGGGTACGGCACATTTTACACGAAGAACTGTGTGAGAAAGCTTTGTGCAAGATGGGTGCTACATTTGTTAAATGCTGATCACAAACAAATGAGGAATCGATTTTCTCAGCAATGTTTGCACCATTTTAAGAATGATCCAACTGATTTTATGTGCAGTTTTGTTACAATGGATGAAATATGGGTTTACCACTTCACACCTGAGTCAAAACAACAGTTCAAGCAGTGGGTAGAAGCTGGTGGATCTGCACCAAAGAAAGCAAAGACAATTGCATTGGCTGGAAAGGTTATTGCTAGTGTTTTTTGGGATTCCAAAGGGATTCTTTTAATTGACTATCTGTGAAAGGGTCAAACAATTAATGGGGAATACTATGTAATCTTCTTGACCAGCTAGATGAAAAAATTAGAGAGAAAAGGCCTGGTTTGTAAAAGGAAAAAAAATGTTCTTTCACCAGGACAATGCACTTGCTCACAAAGGTGCTTTGGCAATGGGAAAATTGAGGGATTTGAAGTATGAATTGTTGGAACATCCTCCCTATTCACCAGATTTGGCTCCCTCTGACTTTCATTTATTTTTTATTCCCAAATCTTAAGAAATTTTTGGCAGGAAAACATTTTGGGTCAAGTGAAGAAGTGATAGCAGCAGTAAATTGATATTTTGAAGACCTTCCAGAATCACAATCAAGGATGGAATCCTGTTATGGGAGAAATGTTGGACAAAGTGTATTGAACTAAAGGAATACATTGAGAAATAAATGCATTTTTAAAATAAAAAACTCATTTTTTCACTACTAGGCTGAGAACTTTTTACCTTGCCCTCGTATAATAATATTTTGTTGGTTTGTTTTCTACATTAAAATGATGAAATACTAAATAAAACACTTTCACTTCAAAATAATCATTGATCTGTATTTTCAGTCACTCAGAAACACTTTTATATCTGATTATTATTGGACTAATTACTACCACCCATGACCATAAGTATTAGACTGCCTCACTCTCAGATGTATTACCCTATTCTCACAGCAATAATCTATGGACCATCTACTAAAATGTGTCAAAATAGGGTGTGCAGATTATAAGCAAAAAATTTAATTAATTTACTGAATTTCTTACAAGAATAATTAGTCCAAAACAACTCTTGCCTTATCAAACACTATTGACAATGCTAGAATTGTTTTTTGGATGACAATTCAATGAATTGTCATCCAAATGACAATTCTAAAATTGCTATTCAATTCATTGAATAGCAATTTATGAAATAATGGTGTTTGACCAGGCAAGTGTTTTTGGACTAATCAGTTCTTATAGGAAATTTAGTAAATTAGCAATGCAGTTTTAGGGTTGACTATTTGTAAATTAAATTAAAAATTTTTTCTGACACCAATAGTTATTTTATTTCAAATCACTTTTACATTCACATTAAATGTCTTGAAAACAGTTGGAATTTTGGCTATCAAATTCATCATCGTTATTGTCTGATTGTGTTGATTCCCTTATTAGCAACCTCATTATGGATCTCTTCATGTCACTAAAAGTAGAATAATGAGAGCCTGTCACCATAGCAATTTTTTAAAAACTCTTTACCCTGTGGGCACTAAGAGAGTTTTTTTTTTCTGCTCATCATAGGTTTGACTTGCCCACAATGAGATGACTGGGTGGTAAGAGGCAAGGGCCAACATATCTGGGGCAGACCACCTTCCAAAAAATTTCTGGGGTTTCAACGTATTCAGATTCATTCCCATATCTCTGGAGTGGTTGGCTGATATCTTAACTGCTCAGCTATCCAGCTAATTGATGGACTAATTTAGATTAAAATAGATAAAATATTTTGGACCTCATTTTAAAACATCAGTTATACTTGCCTAGTAACAGATATTCCTCAAAACTAAATTCCAGTTAATTGAAAAATACAAAAATTCTATGAAAATTAAAGATTCTCACAATACATTCTTAATTCCCAAATCATGAAAAATTCACAAAGTAGCAACATGGCAATGCTGATTCTTAGTTGGTTTTAATGAGAGAAGGTCCCATAATGATTTCCTATTTCTGGGGTAGTGAATATGAGTTAAATAATTACGAATTACTTATCACATGTGTTGTCTGCAGAGAAAATATAAATTTTTAAAATGTAAAGCTTATAGAACATTGCTTTCAANTATATATAATGTTGCAAGAGAATCTTTTAGATTGTATTAAAAATAAAAATGTTATTTAATCTGGTATTATAAACTGTTAAATTTACAACTAATATTTATGTATTTTTAAATTTTAGTCCTAGATTTCCAGTGAGAGGTTCATCTCCTCTTAGAGAACAAATGGGATTTGGTCTTCATCGAAGACTAGGTCCAAGACAGCTTATTCGTCTTCATCAAGATAACTTTCCTAGACCTATGTTAATGGGAAATCCAGATATGCCAGCTCCACCATCTGTTTTAAGAGCTAATCTTAATCAACATTCGTCATCATTAGGTTTAGGACCACCATTACCTTCATATCCTCAACAATTTCCCACATCTGGACAACGGTTTAATACTGAAACTTCTCAGGAAGTTCCATATGAAGCAATTGCACCTAATAAAAATGGTATAAAATTGTTTTAAATTATTAATTAAATACTATAATAGTAAGTTTAATTTTATTTCTCTTTAATTTAATCTCAACATATATCATTTAATTACAGAAACTGTTAATATAGCTGAAGCAATCTCAATTCAACCAAAATCAGAAGTTTCCAATTCTACAACATTTACAAATGCACTACCTTCATTAGATGTTCAGACTTTATTCGAAAAGTTAGTAGCTGCTGGTATCATTCCAGAGTCAAAGACTTCTACTTCAGAAGAAAGTGATAATAAAAATAAATCTACTGAGGAAAAAGAAGTTAAAGAGTCAACAAGTGAAGAAAAGATCCCACCAATAGAATTCACTAATGAAAGTCTTAAAGCGTAAGTCATTTACAGTAACTAATATTTTCAAAATAATTTTAAAAATTACGTAAAATTTATTTTATTATTGATATTTCAGTCGTTACAATGGAGTAATTAGTGCACTATATCGAGGTGCACAGTGTGCATCTTGTGGATTAAGATTTACTGAAGGACAGCATGAAAGATACAGCCAACATTTAGATTGGCATTTTAGAGTCAATCGCAGAGAAAAAGATGGTGCCAAGAAAGCATTCTCTAGGAAATGGTTTTATGATGTTGAGGTAATATTATTGTATTTCTCTTATTTGGATTCTTATTTGTAAATTTAGAGAATTAATTCATTTTAATTTATTAATATAAGTGGAAGGAAATTGATTGTACTTGTTTTTATTTTTAGGATTGGATTCAGTTTGAAGAAATTGAAGATTTGGAAGAACGAGGTTAGATAAACTAAATGTTGTTGTTTTTAAAAATAGAGATTTTTGTTGCTAAACAAATTGTTAATGAGATTTTTTAAAATTTTATCTTTATTGTACAGCTCGTAGCTTCTTTGAACTACAAGCTGATGAAGAACAATTTCAAATAGCTGATCAAACTGAAATTCCAAGTGTTCCAGCAGCTGACAATGAAGAGAAGAATGTAATTCTTTTATTCGTATAATTTTCACATTTTCAGTAATAAAAGATATCTATCATTGTATTTGCTTAATTCTTAATTAAAATTTTTTTTATTTTTAGTCCTGTGTTGTCTGCAGAGAACATTTTGAACAGTTTTGGGTTGAAGAAGAAGAAGAATGGCATTTGAAATATGCAATTAGAGAAATTTTTTGTTAAGATGGATTAAGTTTTCATATAAATAAAATTTTGATCTTAATTTTTTTTAGTATTATAAATTTTTTACACAGATAAGTTTTAATTAATAAATTTTATTTAACTAATTTATAGGAGCATGGACAGTGGGATTGGAATGAACCAAGTCAATATGGAAAGGGAGTGATGGAAAGACGGCCAGTTTTAAGAGAGAATAGATGGACTGAATATCCTCATCCTCCTAAACCATTAATGGGTCCAAGAAGAGATGATCCTCTTCCACCTCATTCCACACATCCTGTTCCAGGTAAACCTCCTTATGGAAAAGACCAATGGATATCAGCCTCACAAATTAACAGAAATTCACTTTGGCCAGATAGGAGACATGCTAGTGATGGATGGGATTGGAGAGATGATTTTAAGTAGGTTAACTTTTTCTCAAAAAATTATTACTAAACTGATTAGGATTATTTTAAGTAATATATCATTGATCTTTGTAGACGTGGACCGAGATGTCTTCCATTCAGACCAAACTGGGAAAGTCCACCTCATCATGAGGAATATCCAACATATTATCGTGAAGGTCCACCTCCTCCACCTCCTCCACCTAGGCCTCCACCTGGTCCACCGGGTCCACCACCTCGTCCTCCATATCACAATATGTATGTTTAAAAAATTCTTATAAATTTTTTGATAGGTGATTTATAAGACATTTAAAATAGTATAGCGCATAAAAAGTTTTAAAAGTATTCACCATTTATTTTTCTGAAACACTCATCTGAAATTTGACAGTTATTTTCCTGAATTGGATTTTTTTAGAATTATGTAAAAAATTTAAAATAATTGAGCTCTATTTCTCAGACTAACATTCAGAAAATAATGGATCTATTGACAATGCTAGAATTGTTTTTTGGATGACAATTCATTGAATAGCAATTTATGAAATAATGGTGTTTGACCAGGCAAGTGTTTTTGGACTAATCAGTTCTTATAGGAAATTTAGTAAATTAGCAATGCAGTTTTAGGGTTGACTATTTGTAAATTAAATTAAAAATTTTTTCTGACACCAATAGTTATTTTATTTCAAATCACTTTTACATTCACATTAAATGTCTTGAAAACAGTTGGAATTTTGGCTATCAAANCCGACCAACCCCAGTCCCCAATTGAGTTGGATAATCGATGCTCTGCTGTATATATTTTTTTATATTACTTTCAAATGGTAAAACTTTATTTATTCTTTAAGTAATATTAATAAATTTTACAATCAATTTGAATTTTAAATAGTTAGTACTTTTTAGTTCAAAAGATGATTGTTCTATTTTGTATAAAATGTTTTTAAAATAAAAATTAACAACTTTACAAAGCAGTATGGCTGATATTTGTTCAACTATAATGCCAAATTTTATGAATTATTAAAATAATGATTTTATTACATATCTACAGAATGTTAAAATATTTTTTTTTTATTTTGGTTTTTAGCCTTATCATCCACTTTGTTATGAAGACTTTAAAAAGGTATGATTAAAACTTTAATTTTACAACTGAAATTCTTACTTCATCTGAATACTATTTGCATGCAAGCATGCATTAATTACATATTTATTTGAAAAATTATTATTATGGAATTGGAAACTTGTTATTTGATGAAAACATTCTTAGTTTATAATTTACAGGAAACACCTGAATATGTCACATTTTTTTATCTAGAAGAATCTTATAAAGTTTTTGAAATTTAATTTTTTTTTAATCAAACTAATATTTACTTTAGTTTTGTTCATTTTAATGATAGTAACAAAAACATATATTTATATTTACATTTTTCTTATTGAATTCCTTTTTAAAAACTATATTAAGATTGCTGACATTGATATTCTTGAACAACTTTCAGAGATTTTAAAATCTTAAATATCTCAAAAGTGAAAAATTTGAAATATTAAAAAATGTTTTAATCTAGTATAAAAAGGTTGATCAAATAGTTATATGATAAGTAATAATTAGCTTACTATCATGTTGACTATTGATTGTGTGTCATACTAGTTTGAACTGAATTCTTGTTCCTATAATTTATTGTGGATAGAATCATGGTGATGTATCTTCATCTCTCTTCCAAGTTGATTAAATCCCATTGCAGATTTTTACTTTCTCTGCTCTTATATATAACTGAGGGAAAGTATAGCAATGGTCAAAAAGTGACTCCCAATATTTTCACATTTTTGGACTCTGGAGCTTGAAGAATCATTGAGAAATGCAAAAAAAAATTCAGAGGTTTTTTCTGTATGCATGGATGTTGATGTGTGTATGGGGGCATGATTTTGTTCACCCTCTTTGAAGCTTATTAACTCCTGTGCTTTTTGTTGAAAATTTCTGAAATTTTGCAGGGAGATTTATGTATTAGGGCAATTGATGCTATTAAATTTTGGTAGTTAAAGGTCAGTGGGGTGGGGAGATAAAGGAGTTTGTCATATCTTGAGTAAGGTTGGACTTAATGATGATTTTACTCATTATTTACATTTAAAATTTTTTTTATAAAGCCTGCCTCTAGTCTAAAAATGAAGTTTTTTGCCATTTTATAATAATTAAAAATATAAAAAGTTTTTTAATAAAATATCATAACAGATGATGCAATCAAATTTAGTTAGTGTTAGTCAAATTTAGCTGAGAAAGTTAAGTGACTTGTTGCTGAATTTTTTATGTTTGTTGTAATGAATGAAAATGGGGTGAGTAATACAATCTTTACTATGCTAATGCCTTGCATTGATCAATTAAATAATCTTAGGACAAGGGGGTTAGGCAACCTGGAAATTTAGAAAAATCTGTAACATTGTGTGTGATAGGAGTACAGTAGAGCATCGATTATCTGAATCAATTGTGGACTGGGATTGTTTGGAAAATTGATTTTTTGAATAACCGATTATGTACGAAAAATACATTATTAATATAGTATATTAATATATCCCATGTTTAAATTTTTCTCGATTGTGTGTCACTTTGCATTGAATTTTTGTCGATGTTAAGCCTAACAAAATGTTTTTATAATAATAATTGTGGCTATTGTATTGTTAAAAATTATTTCTTTATTTTGTACAAACAAAATAAATATATTGAAATATATATATATATAAATTATACTTAGAAGTTAATCTAGTACAGTAGAGTCTCGAAAACTTGGCACTCGATAACCCGGCAGTCTGGATAACTCGGTCACACCCTGGCAGGGCAAAAAAATCCTTAGTTAATTTATTTTCATTACAGACAGTTCTATGCCTCATAAAGTATTTTTCTGAGGTCTGTTTTATCAGGTAAATTACTGTACACAGTGTATTCATTAATTTTCATTTTCATGTAGTAAAGGTTCTATGCCTTCATAAAGGACGTACTTTTCCTTTGTTTAAGGGTATTTGGGCAGTTTATTCTCTGTTGTATTCTCAAGCAAACAATACATACAAGTACAGTACAATATTTTCTGAGGAAACACGCATACTTATCCTTTTTTAACCCCATTCCCGATAACCCGGCATTTTCACAAACTCGGCCACCTTTCAGTCCACATTAGGCCAAGTTTTCGAGGCTCTACTGTATTAAAAATGTTCGATTCAGCATGACACAGTCTGACTGGAATGCTTTTGGTTAACTGATGTTTCAGTTGATCGGCATTCAGATAATTGACGCTCTACTGTAATTTATCTATAACACAAAACTTTTTGCTTTGTGTCATATTACAGTTTGAGGAGGAAAAATTAATCCTTGGAAAAAAGGTTATTTTTTGTTTTTATGGAATAACTGCTAATTGGTAGGAGATATTTGAAAAAGTTTTAAACAAAAAATGCATGTTTTTTTTATGTCTGAGCTGCATGTAGATAAGTATCAAAAAATTCATGTATTTTGAGTACTCCACCACCAACCTTTAAAATGAGTTTTGCAAAAATACTTCTCCATAATCTCTTCTCACATGGCAATATACACACATTACTTGAGATGTTATTTTATTAGACTAATTTGCAAATGGTGTAGAGTTTAGTGATTGTTTGCATTCAGCAGAGTCAACAGTTCTGGAGCTGTTGAGTAATTTCTGCTGAACACCTTTTACAGTAGCAATGTTTAGGAACATGTTTGGTGTTTTGACATCACATTCAGTAGCATTTTTCATTTACACTACCTATTGCTAGCTGAAACTGACCAATGATGACTGCTTTTTGTTCCTATCATACATCATTCAGAGATGTAACTACGTAACAGCTATCGATTGAATCACCTTAACTCAGTTACAACTGTTGACTCTGCTGAACTCAGCCATTATCATATGATACAGAGGAATTAATAAAATGGGGAAGATAGGAAGAAAATTTTAAAATGGACTTGTTATTTTTAAAGTATTAGTTGCCAGATCTTACTGATGACAGTGCCAGTGTTTAGATTCATTCTATTATTTTCATTGGTTTTGGTAATGTCTAAGTTCTCAAATAGTTTTCTTTTTATAATAATTCTCAAAAGGGACCTGAAGAGGGGAAAATAGTCCAAAATGCATTTCAATTGTACACAATAATGTCTATATTTAGACATTATAATTCATCAAAAAGTGTTTCTGTGATAAGTTCTACATAATTTTTTTGTGTTAATTGCATGGATGAAGCACGGGCTACTGGGGTTTCATTTTCACTTTCTTATGCGAGTTTTTAAAAATAATTCCCACATTAGATTTTCATGATTTTGGTGTCATTTTGACATCAAAATCACGTATACAGGTATACCTCAAGTTATGTCATTCTCGATTATAAGTTGTTTGTTGTTCAAAAAAATGTGGAAAAATAAAAATCAAGTTTAAGTCAATTTATTTGACTTTACGTCTGTCTGTCACAAATATTGAATTCATTGTATCATTAGAAAAGCATTAAAGCACATAAAATCATATTAAAATATGTACATTTACAGTAAATGTTAATATAATCATCATAAATATTAGAGAACGAAACATGAAAACATCTGTGTTTCTATGTTGTTGTTGTCTTATTTAGCAGTCTTTAAGTACTCAATATTGGTGTTTTCCATGGTAGCTCCAATATCTGTCATTTGGCATCATTGTCAGTGCCACTCAATATTGGTAAATTTAATATAAATGAGTTTATTTTCTATTGTCGCAAGATAATTTTAATAACTGTATTTGTTATTTAACCTTACAAAATCATCATATTTTATAATGTCTTAGAGCAAACCACATTCACAAATAAAGAGTCCGCGATGTACTGTAAACATGTACATTTACAAGTATGTACTATACGTACAGTACACGAATTCATAAATTTAGATTACTTTTTTCTGTACTATATTAAAAACTAAAATTTATTTGTTTGTAAGCTTAAAATAGATTCTTATTAACCATATATTATTAAAAATGCATTTATAAATAAAATACAGAACTGGGAATGGTTATTTGTGGTTTAACCTGGTGACAAGTAAATTCGACTTATGTCGTTTTTCGACTTAAGTAGCCTCTCCTGGAACCAATTACCAATGTAAGGCAAGGTATACCTGTATCTCGCATATATCACTTTGCTCAGTATAACCTTGTCATTTGTTGGAAATACTTTTTGTAAAATATAATCTACTCTGAGGTATATTCAAAAGGTATAAAAGGTATATTCAAAAAATAAAAGTGTCAATTTTTTTTGACCCTTAATAACAAAAAAGCATTTTGATGTTTTTTGGAATATAAAGGCACATAGTTGCTTGATATTTTTCCAGAGTTTGGTGAATTTCAGTTGAACTACAGAAAAGTTATACAAATTCTAAGAAAAAAGAAATGTCCCTCATTCCCACTAGATGGTGCCACGTTACCTAGATCTAATAACAGAAATGCATAATTTAAACACCTAATTGGGACAATTTTTTGCTTAAATGGAACAGTAACAGAAAAGGAATTTAGCAATTTTTGATATATTTTAGGGATCTTCTGAAAACATGTCAACTCTATGTATACTAATTCAGTGATCTCCAAATTTTTTTGATCACATACCCCTCAGACGAAAATAATTATCAGTTGTATTCCAAGTATCACTTTGCATATCCCCTTGTGGAGACCTCAGCACTAATGACGTGTAGGTTGGTGGAGACAAAGTAATTTTATCTTTTGCTCAGGTGATTCAGTTTTTTCGCAGGGGGTTAGTAGGACATAGTGTTATCACACCAGGATCATGTCTGAAGCAGTCCTGAATGCAAGCTACTGACCCTGCTCCAGATTAAATCGGTTCAACTTTTATGTAACTATTTTAAATACACATTTTTTAGTCATGTTAAGCAACTCACCGACATTGTGTTTCAGATGCAGTTCCCTCAGTGGAGACTGGACAAAATCTTAAACATGGCTGCTTTTAACGAGCAGCTCCAATTTATCCAAGATTTTTCCCACTTAAATGCCAACTGATTTTATTTTATTATTGTTTTACTTCTTATTTTTTTGTTTACTTTAATTTAATTTCTTTATTACACTTCTCTTTTTTTATCTGTACTTTTCATCATATTTTTTTTTTCTCAACAATAAATCGCTTATGATCTTTCATTTGTGAGATATCAGTGCTCAAACTGCTTGCCCAGGCTAACTACATTGATAAACATTATTTCAAGTTTCTCAATGTCACATATCTAGTAAGATATATTAAAACATAAAAATGACATTATTTATAACTAAACCCAATACTTCCTGTAATAATACAAACTTTCAGTTATTATTTTAGATTATAAAAGAAATATATGTTATTCATGATGATAATGATTACAATTTCAGAAGCTTATATATCAAAGTTGATGCATAACATAATAAACGTATTAAAATATTTCAAAATTTTTAAAACTTGAATGGGATTTTTTTGTTTAAAAAATTTGACTATCAACATTTTAAACTAATAGTTATTTTAATTAGACAAATGTAATGTATTGAGGATAACTGTGTTACACCATTACATAGTTTTTATTACAAACTTAAAATACATAAAATTTGCTATCAAACAAGTAATTTTTTCAAAATTTTTTCATTTAAAATTAATAATAATATAAAAAATTAATTTTTAAATTATATAAAAAAATTGGCTAATATGGCATCAAATTTTTTTATTTCTTTGTATATATACATTTCAGTTTAATGAAATATTTTGTACCTGTATTTGTTAATATTATGTTAATAATAATAAATGAAATTTAAATTTAACAATAAATATTTCATAGTATGTACAAGTATAAAAAGTTGTAAGGTTGTGTGCAAATGGATACAATATGATAATATTCTCATTGAAAATTTTAGACTACACAAACAATGTTTGAGTCCATTTTCTTATTTATATCCTTTTTAATTCCAATCCAGGAACCACAAACAGCAGGTGACTTGAAGTAAAACTTCTAAAAACACACACTATCAAAAAATTAAAAAGGATATAAATAAGAAAATGGACTCAAACATTGTTTGTGTAGTCTAAAATTTTCAATAATGAAAATAACTATAATAATCCTGGGCTAATATGTACAATTATGACAATATTCTTTTAACCAAGTTTTTATTTAATAGCTAACATAATATAAAATTATACTATACTAAGTAGGATCTGATAATAGTTCTTAATGTGGTGATTTTATTAACAAATTTTGAAAAGATACTTTTAAAATACAAAAAGGAACATATTTTATCTTCAAAGCTAAAAATTATTTTAATCTTACTTTCAAAAGCAGTACAGTGGTGCCTCGTATAACATACTTAATCCGTTCCAAGTGCATGTCCATTAAGTGAAAAGTCCATTATATGAAACACATTTTCCTATAGAAATACATGTTAAAATATATAATTCATTCCGCAGCATAAAATAACCATACTGTACCATTAAAAAAATGAAAATGGAGCAGTCACCAATTATACCGGATAGGCAGATGTCGTGAGGAGGAGGTGGAGGAACACTTTCTTTACACATTTATACAGATACAGACTTTTACACATTGCAGCAGGTCTCTTTTTATTGTTTTTTAATCAGAGTCAGAGTCGGGAGAGGCTACCAGAGCTTGCAGGGTCATCTCCTCTTGTTCCATCCTTTGTTTTTTGGCAGCTTGCTTCTTGAAAAATATGTTCAAGGTGGTCTGTTTCTCTCTCTTCTTCAACACCTGTCGGAAATGACGAGCAAGGGTGTCATTGTAGATATCATTGATCCTGTTGGCCTCAGCTCTGTTTGGATAATGAGTGTTGGTAAACTCCTGAACCTCTCCCTGTTTGACAAGGAACTTTTTGTCAACTTTCACTCCTTCTGATGATTTCTTGCTTTGTTTCAATTGAAATCATCTTTCTGTTTTTTTAGAAGCCACGATTTGCACAACACTTGAATAAATGTAAATACCCTGTACTGAGGTGATGTACGTAATAAACAAGGGAGCAAGCCGAATCCCATGGAAGCTCTGTAGTTCAGATATAATAACAATATGTTCTCATAATACTAATATATTATAAAAATAGCAGATTGTCATTGGCAACGGCAAAAGAGTGGAAACATCATTCGCACTTGTTCGCAGAAAGATCGTTGTTTGCCTCGCGTAATGGCCAAACAGAAAGTCCATTGTTCGCAGCATCCATTATTTGAGGCATACGTTATACGAGGCACCACTGTATATATTATTTAAATAAAGTAAATATGGCTAAGATATAGTAGTCAATCCTTTTAATATAATGGAAACCATATTATACTTAAAATTTAATATTTAATATATGTAATTTTGAAACTTCTGTTTTAGAATGCACCTGAAATTGAACCAGTTCAAAGCATTTTAATATTTTACAACTTAATATATATATTACTGTTTCGCTTTGTTTAAATTGTTTATATGGAATCTTTATTTCCTTTTTTTTTAAATCAGTATATGTTTTTTTTATTATGTTATTTTAAAAACTTAACTGAGTTTATAATTTCATAATTTAAAAAATAATAAAGTTTTACACTGCACATAATTATGCTGTAATTTTGTATTTAAATGAAAAATTTTTGATAAAATAATTAAATACTAATAATAATCAAATTCCTTAAGTATTTATATCATATTTTATGAAAGAAAGTATATAGTAAAACATAATATGTCTAAAATGATTTAAAAAGATACTAAAATGATTAAAAAAGGTTTAGATTTAATATTAATTTTCTAATATTTGAAAAACGTCCAGGGCATATAAGTTACCTTGATTTCAAGTAAATCATAGATTTAATTCTCAAAAGAAATAAATTGGAATTAAAATTGAACCTTACAATGGTGTTTATTATTTTCTCATATAATAATTAAGAAAGTAGCAACTAAATATTGTAATGGAATTTCAAAATACTTGTTGCATTTGTGTTTTCTAACATTAATTGTAGAATTTAATGGTTTTTTTATGATATATTTTTAGGCAAGTGAAGCACCAGAAACACCTGTAGAGGTTCGCAAAACAGACCCATTAGCTGCAGCAATAAGTGTAGAGAATATTAAGAAAGAAATAGATAAAGAAAATATTGAAAAAGAAATCAAAGAGGAACCAAAAGACGAAGAAGAGGAAGAAGAAAGCAAAGAAACTACGGAAAAAGACGACAGTGTCATTGACACACAACCAATTGACCAAGACACGATATCAGATGAGAAAGAAACAACTAATGTAGAAGTTGTAATTAAAGAGGAACCATTGGATAATGAAAAAGAGGAAGACGTTGAAAAAGAACAGAATGAAGAATCTATTTCTGAAGAAATAAAAGTAGATGAAAATTCAATTGAAGAAGAAACACCTAATGACATTCCAGTGATGGAATTATGTAATTTGACTAGTGGAGCTACTCTTGAAGAAGAGGAAATAAGGCCGGAAGCCAAAAAAATAATTCTTAAATCTGGTGGTATTGTAATGAAAGTTCGTGCAGATAGTATAGCATTACCGGCTTCTCCCAATTCTAATGCCAAACCTCCCACAACAGAAAGCTCTGAATGTGAGGAAATTAAAGAGATGGAATATCCACCTCCCGATCCTAGATTTAAAGTTTTACCTCCAGTCCAAAGAGGAAAGGAGTTATCTGGTCTCTGTACGATAATGTAATTTCTCATGAGATGGTGAAAATTTTATTGTGCCAAGAAACATTTTAATCTCAACAGAAAAAATGGAAGATATTTAAGAAACCAGTTTCTGTCCACTGATATGGGTTTAATTATTTAATTGCAAGCAGTAACTGCCTGCATCTAGTCATCAGAATAATTAACCAATGAGTGGGGATTTTTGTTACGTCTCAGGAATATGTAATTTTATCTGTAAAAAGCTTGAAACTTAATTTATGCAATGCTCTTAGAAAAGGAAAAAGCATTTTGGAATCATGTCTGGTTATTTTCCATCTTTATAAACGATCATCACTTTTCTCCATCATTGTGATGTAGGTGAGCCCAGTGAGTGTATATGTATGAATGTATATATTTGTTTATATGAATGGGTGAATGTGAATGAGTTTGTACACATTGTAAATACACCAACCCAACACAAAAAACGTGCCTTTTCATCCACATTATAAGGCATTTTTGACCAATGGTGTATCATATGTAAATATATAAAAAAAAACGTTGTAAAAAATTGTGTACCAACAAATAAAAACGAACTTGTTTTGTATGTTGGTGTTTTCTTTCTTGCTATTTTTTGTTTTTGTTTGTTTTGTTTTTTTTTTGATGACTTTGTTTAAATAATTACAGCTTAGCGTGTATCGTATACTGATGCACTAATAAATTTTTTTAAATGTCATGATATAGCATTGTGATATTCTCGTAATATTTAGCAGCATTAGATTCTGAATGCGGATTCTAGACGATTGCATTTCAACTTGATGTTGTTGTAAATGGAATTGAATAATTGGGACTATCTCCTGTCGTGATTCGATACTTGAGTATAATACATACTAACTGATGACAACATTCTGCCTGAACTTTTGCAGGCTTCCCTGTATTCGACGGATTCAAAATAAAGGTTTTGGGAAAATATTTTTGTGTTTGTTTCATTATTTTTATTCTCGTGTGTTTTGTGTGTGTATATATAATTTAGTTTTATTAATATATTCGGTCGAAAATATATAATGAAAAGAGCAACACGTGACAAAAATTAATCTTGTTCATCAGGGCCGGCCTTCTCTATAAAGGGGCCCGGGTGCAAGAAACTATTTGGGTACTACATTTTTTGTAAAATAAAAAAAATTACAAACACAAACATATATTAATGCATGTTTATTTAAAGCGTGATTTTGTTCTTGCTAATACATGAATTACTTCAGGAAAATTATAATTTTTGCAATTTCTTTTTCAATGCTTAATATAGCAATTGCATTAAGCGTTCTGCACACATGCTGGATCGAAATAATTCTTTATTAATTTTAATTTGCCGAAAGAGCGCTCAGCACTTGCTATAGTAACTGGCAACGCAAAGAAAAGTTTTAACACAGTTAATACATTTAGAAATAACTCATTATAATTATTATTTAGTATGTATTGCATATGTCTTGTGTGTTATTTACATCTCTTTCATTCAAAATCAAATCCCGTAGCAAACCAATTTCCTGGAATAGGTTTTCATCTAGGGGAGATCCTTCTACTTTGGGACGCTTTTCTTTAAACCTTTATAATTTAAGTTCAAATTGATCTTTAGCTATGACTATTGAATATTTCTATTAGTAATTGATAACATCATTAAATATGGTGCAACACTTGACCCTATGCTATTTTATTTATGAGAAAATGTCAAATAATTATTTGCAGATATTTGTCCCAAGGTACAATCATGGATTGTACCTCGGGACACCAATGTTTGTACCTTGGGACACGAACAATCCTAACATTTTTGTAAATCTTAACTTCCGCCAGATGAAAAAATAGTTTATCCAAGTCTTTTCCCTTATAACAATATTGGCTTTATCAGTTAACAAAAATGTTTCATATGCTGGAAATGCAGGTAAGTATAAAGTTTAAATGTTCTGTAGAAGCATTTTAATGATTAAAAATCAAAGATAATCTCATTTTTGTATTAAGGAAAACAATAGTCATTACAAATATAGGTCATAAACATTACTACTTACTAATTTTTTTAGAATTAATATCGCATTTCTGACAGTAATTTTCAAAAAAGGTGCAATCTTCGCGCACCCAGAATCGACAGGTAACGCATTGAATCCAGCCTTCTGTGCTCGAAGTAGTAAAATAATTTTCATCGCATCCTACACAATTATTTTCCTCTTGAACTTCATCACACGAGTCGTCACTCTCTAAGATCACAGAAGTTTCATCCNTTTATATGATACATTAGAACAGAGTCGTATTTACTTAAAACTACGACTATATGCAAATATACATATAATTTTATATGGCCGACGGCCACAGTATTATTTCATTTCTTAACGCGGGCTATATGGTATTGAGATTTTTTTTTAAAAGTCGAATTTAGGTGGGGATTCTCGGGAGTTTCCCGAATCAAATAACAAAAACTAAACATTCGCATCACCGAGAATTAGTTTGAAGATTGTCGAAATTCAGAGATTAAAATAATAATGTTTACGATAAAATGTACTTTTCGTCATACTGACAACGATAGGAATATTGTCGAGTTTTCTTGTGCATTCTTGACAATGTTAGGGCCCCCTCAATCGCGGGGCCCCGGTGCACAGCATCCGCCGCACCCCCCCGGTGGCCGGCCCTGTTGTTCATTCATATTTTGTAAGTTTACACGATTGTCAGACTTATAATTAAAACACTTAGTGGACACTAAAAAGTATTAGATATTAAAATAAAAAATTTAGAATTTTATTCTGGATATTACATAATTTTGCATGATAAAATTGGCAATAAGAATAATAATAATAATCGATGGAAAAGAAAATAGCAATTAACAATACTTTGTAATTAATATTTTAAATTAACAATTGCTGTTCTTTGAATTAGAGGGTACTAATTAGAAGTTAAATACTGTAATATAATTTAATTGGAAATATAGTAGAATTTGCTTATTGTAATCACATATAATGTTATCTCAGTTATCAAAATTAGCGGGTCAAAAATTATACAAGCTAAAATATAAATACTTTGCTTTTTGTAATCATAATTCGATTATCATCATCATCATGGATAAATATGTCTTTTAGCACAGGTTCTCAACTGACAAGTGGCTGATGCCATCGTTATCAGTCTAATAAACAATTATACACGAATTATTAATTGATAAATCGTGTTACACATTATTTTAGCATGTCCTTACTAATCGTCAATGAAACCAAGATTTTCTCTTAATTGTTAAATCTTGTTTACTTATTATAAGTAGTTTAGGCGATTCCCGAAATGACTACACACTAATAATTTTTATTCGGAAACATCATCGATGTGCTAAAAATAATATAATTTTAATAGGTGTGATGATTTACCCAGTTTAGATGTATGTAGAGTTGGTTTTCGGTTTAATAATTTTTCTTTCAAAAGTTCGTTTAAAATTATGGAGAAGACATACTGCAATGTTTAAATAAATTATCGTTATCAGTTTGCAATAACATCTATATTTTAGTAACACTATTATCAAGATCATAATCCTTTTTTTTTAATGTTTGACTTTAGCTTTGCGGGTAATAAGAAAGGCCTTTTGCGATAACCATAGTAAAGATGGCCTACAGATTAAGGTGCCAGCCTGTCTGGGGGTTCCCTAGTTTAATCCGAACGGGTCGAAATATCCAGGACTTTCGTGGACAGACAGAGCCCAAGATGTGTGAACTTCCGTCCACACATCTTGGGCTCTGTCCTATGATGGCTTGCTAGAACTAAAACATGGGTGTTTAGAATAAAAATACAGTTTGTATTATGAAATGTATGTTTTCTTCCATCTTAATTGACCTTAAAGAAACATTGCACATATATCCAAATGGGGAATATCTTTACATTTTTATTTACCAACGTATTCGCCTGACTATCGCCTTTTTCCAGTTAATTTCACTTTAAATTTAACATGTTAAAAGTGGATTTTCAAAAAACAACCAACAAACTTTATGGTGTGATTTCGGTTCATCTGTCTTTTTTAAAACTACTAAACCACGAAGCAAGGCTATGGCAAATCGCGCATGTCCGAGTTTGAAGCTGTCATTTTAAAATTTCAAGTAATAGACCGCGTTTTCAACGAGCCAAACGTCTGTCCATAAGGCTTAGGTGGGGCATAGCACCAAAAAGGTTGGGAAACACTGATCTAACTGGAGCAGCAACGCTCTGTTGCTACTAGCGGCGTATTCTAGCAAGAATTGCGCATCAATTGCCGTGTGGCATAAAAGACCAGGACGACAGACCATTCACATATAATGAAGTATCACATGCTATTGAACTCATTAACATCAAAAAGGCTTCAGGCATTGATCAGGTAACTGGGATTGATCAGGGAGACATATGATATAAATTCCTACTACTTTCGTTTCCCTGTACAACCGCTCCCTTTCTCTTGGGTACTTCCCTGCTGATTAGAAAAAAAGCATCTGTTAAATTCATTCAAAAGAGGCCTAATGATGATCAAAACACCCGAAGGATTTCAGGCCTATCAGCCTCCTCCTCGTAATGGGGAAAATCCTTGATAGGCTGGTCAGCAATAGGATTTTAAATTATTTGAGGAGACATAACATTTTAAGTTCTCACCAGCATGGATTCACACCTGTAAAATCCTCTACTACTGCTCTCCAACATTATCGAGTGCGTCAATTCTGCCAGAAAAGAAGGTAAACACACGCTCCTTGTATCTATTGACTTCCGTAGAGCGTTCGATAATCTCTGGAAGCCGGCGATTCTAACTGCGGGACTTATAACTGTCCCCGGAACTTACAAAACCCTATGAGTAGTTTCATAAATGAGAGGCAGGCTGGCTGGTACACCAACAATCTTAGATACAGCCATCGTGTTACCGAAGGTTTCCCACAGGATTCAATTTCCGGCCCACAATTGTTCATAACAACCTTCTAACAATTCTCAATGGACCAAAAGATCAGCTTTTGCAAAGATATGCAGACGACACAGTGATTCTTGTGTCGGACAAGAACAGCGGAAAACTGCCTGTCCTCTGTAATAATTTACTTGAAAAGTTTTCCAACTGAAGTAAGTGTTAACCTCCCAATCAACTACAAGTGCACGTATATTATTTTCTGGAAAAACACGCCACTCCAGAAAAGTCCTAGGATTCTTATAGATGGGTATCGGATTCCGATAGTAACTAACTTCACTTATTTTCGGTTGTTCTTGAGCAGCAACTCCAATGGACTAAACATAGACAGTGCCAAAGCTGTTCAAGTGTCTAATGCTCTGAACAGTATAGCAAAAACACTTGGAGTATACGTTATAATGTGACACGATATATCTACCTGGGGGCAGAGAGCTTATTCTTTTGTATGCTGCGCCAATCTGGTCAGCGGCCACCCAAACTGTGCACATTCAACGCAAACTCCTAAAGGCACAAAGGATTGCCGCTCAACGTATTTGCAGAGCATACAGAAGGGCACCTACTTCAGCCCTGCTTGTTATTGCAAGCTTCCTTCCAATGTATATTAAAGTCAGGATGGCTATGTTGAACTGGAATATCTGTAACAAAATGAATGGAGAAGTTTCTAACAGCAGCAATAGTCATAAATAACATCATCTCTGTTTTCCCGGACCAAATAAAGAGCGACATCGCTAACTTTGGCATCAAGCACAAGCTGGCAGATTCTAACTACAGTATTTTAAATGAAAATTATCCTACTCTTGGTGATAACTACTTAAGTTGAAGTTAAGTGAAAATGTTGACTCCATCTATAATGATGAATCGAAAAATCTAGCAGATGTTGGGGCAGCTTTCATCCTTTACCATCATAACACCGGTGCCAACCATAGATCTGCTTTCAAACTGGGTCCTCACTGCACTGTGCCCCAGGCGGAAATCCTGGCCATTGTCAAGGCAAGGGATCATATATATTCTGAATGGTTCCTCGCAACAAAATTATCAC